AGATAAAGTAACCTGAACGACTCGAAACATGTTTCTTATAGGTTTTCGACAATGCTCTTTCCAGGTGCATTGTTTTTAAATATTGAGAAAGTTTTCTGAGGGGTTTTCCAGAGACCGGATCTCTGGAAAGCTCCTTAGAAAACTTTTTCAAAACCCAACTCTCATGCCATTAGAAAGAGGATCATGAAAAACCTATAAAAAAATGGTTCATGAAATTTTAGTTCACTCATAAAGCTAAAGTCCGCCTGCTCTAGCAAAAATGCCCACTGTGAGATAGTTAGGTGCTCATTCGCTTGAGATCATTCATCCTATTCACCTTCGCTAAGAAAATTGCAAACAGTGCCGTGGCTAAGGGAGGATGTGAGGGAGTTCACGCTCCTCCTCAATTTCAAGAAAATCTTTTCTAAAGACAGCTCAAATTGATAACGAAGATAATAACCAATAGATACATGTGTATAAAAGAAAATTGTGTTTTCTGACTTCTATGGCTATCTCCCAAAAAAATGTATACCCCTCAGGGGTGTAGGCAGGGCCTGCCTTTTTCTCTCGCTAGGTGACTGATTTCAAAACGTCATTAGTTCGTATAGGTCAGACAACTCTTTTATATTCTATCTCGCACTGTTTCAATTAATGAACTGTCAACATCTAAAAATACAAGAATTTTCTTTAGAATTTCAGCACAATGCATCGACTAATGTAATTTGAAGTTTGAAACTGAAGATAAACGTTTATCCATTAACCTATAAGAATTCAATAAAGTATAAAGAACAATGCTTGAAAGTTTTCGAAAGACCATGAATGTCTGCAAAGGATGAACCTCTAGAGAGGATTAATACGTAGAAAGGATGACTATATATATATATATGTCAGTAACTTTCAACAGACGGATATAGTAAAGAACACTACGTAAGCACTTTTCCATAGTATGGGTTTTCAACTTAGGCAAAATGTAATAATTCTGACATCTATGTTGAAAATTAAAATCGAGCACAACCACGCTTTTGTCTTTTTAAATTCGTGGTTTCTACTATTCGAATGTCAAGGTCAAGGCTTGGGTGTTTATTAATTCATCAAAACGTAAACAACGCTGCTACGGCTTATAGTAGCTTAGGTTACATCAATGAATGTTTAAGAAAGAAAAAATTAGCTTTTTCATACTATACACGAGGACTTCATATTTATTTAAGAGCTGAACATGTTATTAGCTTGAAACATCCCTTGCACATAGCTAATAGAAAGTTGACTAATGATGGAAACAGCGCAAGTTATGATTATGAACAGAAATTTCAAGAATGTGAAAAAGAACTGTTATTAATCGATCCTTTCGATAAACCAATTCCGGCCGGTCAATATAATCGAATTGGAATGATTCATACTTGGAAAACGCGATATCAGACGGCTATCAAACACTTTGAAATTGCCACTCAATTTGGTCTAGAAACGTTACCTCAAACATATCCTGAATTAGCCGTTTGATATCAGAATCTTGGGATAGCTAATCTGACACAGTATGGAGCTTTGAGTTCTGGAGCATGAAGTTCTCCAGAAGAACTTCATGTTTCTTCCTGAAGAAATCGACGCTTCTCCACAAGAACTTCATGTTTTTTACTCAAGAAATCGATATTTCTCCACAAGAGCTTCATGCTTTTTACTCAAGAAACCGGTGTTTCTCCACAAGAACTGCATGTTTTTTGTTCAAGAAATCGATATATCTATTGGTACATGCAAAGCAATTTCTTCGAGTTATAATTAGTCATTTGATTTCAGAAGAAGAATGATAAATGAAGATGCAGCGTAGGTGCACCCTGCAAATTTGCAGGAATTTCTACACATAAGACTAAGACTAAGAGACTAAGACTGTTTTATTCACGAAAAGTAAGGGTCACCAAAGGTCATAGATCTGTAATAACGATGACTCAAGCCAAATAACACTAAAAGTAAAAAAAAGAGAAAAGAAAATTTTTGAAAAGAAGGAAAAGAAAAGAACAAATATAAATTCATCACTGACAATCGATTCACTGGAAGAGATACTGAAGTAAAGATGTTTTGAAAGACAATAAGAAGAATGACGAATAATTGACTCTGGAAGATTATTCCAGTCAGTAATAGTTGAATAAAAAAATGAAGAATGTACTGTTTGCGGAGAAAAACCAACAACAGAAGGTGAAAGACGAACGTATTTAGAGTGATGAAGACGTAAAGATGAGTAGTGAGGACGATGAATAGTGTAAAAGAGAGAAACAGGACTTAGACGATGATAAATTCTGAAAAACTGTAAAAGTCTAAAGTATTTACGATGAAGAGAGAGATTTGGAAGAGAAAGCCGAGATACAAGTAGAGAACTAGACGAACGGAAGTCCAAATTGCGAGAGATAACACGAGAAGCGAGTTTGTTTACAGAATCAAGAACAGTAAGAGAAAACGAACTGTCATACAAGACACAGCAATAGTCAATTTTAGGAAGAATAGAAGAAAGATAGATTCGACGCCGAATTTCAGTTGGAGCTAATCCAAGGACACGATTCATTGCTCCGAGCACCTAAGATCGTGCGAAACAAGAACACCAAGACAACGAACAGAAGACACAGCAGAGAGAGGAGCATCATTGAGATACAGTTGATTATACACATACGGAAAGAGGTTGGAAGAGAAAGGAAGCCAACAACATTTAGAAGCGTTTAAAGACATGAGATTGGAAGAAGACCAGTGAGAAACACAGTTTATACAGTTTTGAACATGAGAAAAATTGGAAGAATCGGTAGAGGAAAGAGGAACAATCAAAAAAACATCATCAGCAAAGGACAGATTTCACAATTAGGTGGAAGTGACAGAGGTAGATCATCAATAAAAATAAGAAATAAAAGAGGCCCAAGCACACTGCCTTCACTGTTAATGCTCGTGATTCCATTTACTTTAAGAACGTGGGTGTCTGTTCATATATAGAACTACCGTCATAGAAGATTTCGATCAGTTTGTTGGTATAAAAATTTATTAGTAAGTTGAAATGTAGTTACATTAATAAGCAGAAAAGGTGATGCACCAAATAAGAAAAGTTTCTGGCATAAGAACAGAAAGGTCGAACAGGAAGACTAAAACAAATGATTACAGCTCACA